TATACCGCACACGCCGGCTGAATACAAGGAGTGGAAGCGAGGTAGAGGTAGAGCAAAGAGGCGGTGGGTCGTCCAACTTCTCGATATACATGCATCACAAACCGGCACACCGACAATGCCAAGCTCACACAAGCAGATCAAACATAGAAGGCGCGAAGATCCGAGCAGCGAAAGAAATCCAGAAACCAATGATGTCCAAATCCACGCCAGACAAAGGAATCCAGAGACCAAGGATGCTCAGAATCCAAGTCCTAATCCACAACACAAAATCCAACGATCCTCAAAATCCAGAACGGAATGATAAATAACCTTTTTAGACCCACGTCAGTGCCTCCCACAAAAAATCTCATAAGCTTAGGGTTGTTGAAGAGGGCGTTTTGGGCGTTGAACGGACTACAGGGGTTGGACAGAGCTGGTTTGATGAAGGGGGTTAAGGGTGAGGGGTTTAGGGTTGCGGTTTAGTCTTGCGGAGTGTCAGACTTTGAGACAGGGTGTTGCAGTGTGGGCTCGGGCTCAAGGGTGCCAAGGGCGGTTTGCAACAAGATTCCTAACGCCTAAACCCGGGGTTCAGGGGTTAAATAGGATATAGAATTTAGGGTTTTGGGTTTAGGACCCTCAGCCACCCAAAATGCAAAGTGTGGCTTTGGGCAATACTCCCCAAGGCTGCTGAAAACTCGGTTCAGGGCCAAAAAGCCAACCCCCTTCGACATTGCTGGATCCAGGGCTGCATTGGTGCTTGTACCTTTTTTTCCAGCTTTGTAGCCTACCTATAAAAGATACAGGGTACCTTTACCAGGGCCCCTATAATTTAGAGAATCCCCCGTTGAGTTTTGAAGGCTCACTCCAGAGGTCCTATTTTGGGGTTTTGGCTTTACAATCCTAAAACTTGAGGGTTTCGGCTTTAGACCCTGAACCCTGGTGTTAGCCCCTAAGCTCCAGCGAGTCGCCTTAACAAAAAACCCCCAAAGGGCTTAGGGTTTAGGGTTAGGGTACCCTAAACCCTAAACCCTAAGCCCTCGGCCCTAAACCCTAAGGCCTCCAGCAACTTCTGCTGACCATCTGCTGTCTCCTGTGGAAGGGGTAAGGGTTGTCAGGCTATCCCTAAACCCTAAACCCAAACCCTCAACCCTTAACCCTCAACCGCGGGGGGTTTCGGGGGAGATTGGGGTTGAGGGAGTCTTTGGGCTTGGGTCGTGAGGGTTTCGGGCCTTAGGGTTTGGGGGTTCCGGGTCTAGGCCAGCAGCCCCAAACCCTAAACACTAAGACCCCCTATCGACCCTAAACTCTGAACCTCTAAACCTAAACACAAAACCCTGAACCTTTCACCTGAAAAACTTGGCCTAGGCCACAGAACAGTACCTTGCTTGCTGGTTTCTGCGAGGCATCACCTGAGCTGGCACGGTTCATTCACATCAACGAGGCAGTGGAAGAGCACTCACTTGATCTCGCTCATTTTCTGTCACGCATGTGGCTGCATCGGACTTTAGCAGTGCAGCAGGTTCCAGACAGCACAAGACAAGTCTTTGCTGGAGTGTCTTGCCAAAGCCATTAGTTGCTGCTCTGCCTCGGGATCTACAATGCAGGGCTGCCAGACGTGGCGTCAAAAGAAAGGTGCATCAAACCATTAGGGCTTCATCTTGATTGCAAGAAAAGAGAAGTGCAAAGCTTACAGCACTACTTAAAAGGAATTCTGTAATGGATGACTCTATCAAAGACTCCTTAAGCGTTGCACGGTGCTCCCAAGTGCAGCTGAACTCCTCGACCCTATGAAAAAGAAAACTGGATCTCCGCCCAACACTAGCCACGTGCAAAAATGACTTGGCAAGCCAGAATTGTCAAGATATGTCAAGATAGTGCTAGCAGCTACGGTGAGAATGTCCATAATGCTAGATCGCTTTCTAACCCAAGTTCCATGGAAAATCTCTTTTTCTAGAAACTTGGGTGAGCCTCTGGATGATGTTTGCAGATCTTGGTTGCCACGCCACTGTGTTCTAAAAACTCTGAAGGTCACTACGCGTTTGTATGCCCACTCCACAAGTCCTACAAGCTGGGGCACGAGCACTATCAGAGCCACTGGACGAAGGTGTGCCTTGCAATGTGCCAACTGGAACTGCTTTAAGCTATCAAAGCTTTAACTCCACATGTAAACATGAAAACAACCAAGACGGCATTTCAGCCGTGAAAGTGGACGAGATACAGGCTCTAGATGCGAAATCACAGCTACTTGAGCCTACAGCTACTTGCGAGGGTGGCATAAATCCCACCAAGCCCCTGCTTCTGAGGGCGGCGCGGGAGCAAGACAACGGCTGGGGCGAGGCTTTGCACCCCTCCAAGACTCACAGGCTTGAGTCAAATGTTGCAGCACCTACAGCCTCAATCATTCCCAAAGTGCACAGTGGTGCAAGGCTGACGGTACACAAAAACCAAACAAACCAAGGGGCCCAGGGGGGGGAGGGGCGAAGCCCTGCCGCGAAAGTCTCCAAGTACGGGAACGGGTTTTCGTGGTTCATGGGGAGGCGAAGTGTGTGAGGGTTGTGAGGTCCAAGGCTAACCCTATGTCTGTGAATGGATTTCAAGGCTCCAAAACGTGCAGAGAGCGTCACCATGTCTAGTTCTCAAGAATACGTCACTCTGATAGGCAGACCCGACGCCGGCTATGGGCCCGAAAGCCCCGGACTCCCCTTTCTCTGGAGACCACAAGGTCACAAGGACCCACACATCACGAGCCTCAAACCTTCCTTGCTCCAAAAATCGGTTACTGCTCAAAAAAATGGCTCCAACGGACCCTGTCCCAAAACCCAGCACCAGCCCGGGAGCAGCCTCCAAATTTGGCATCCAAATTGGGGCTCCCCCTGCCTAACCACCTGGTACAGATCAGCTTACGCTGGATGTTCAACCTCAAGTTTAGGGGGGAACTTTCGCGACGATCCGACATTACATGTCGGGGCACTCGCACACATCAACATCCCGCACCGTAGGCATGCAGCGTAAGCCTGCTTCGAGTGAAATTTGACACAGTGCAACTGGTAAATGTTCTCGCGACAAAAGAGGGCGTGACATGCATTCTGGGGCCTTGCCATGTGCACTCGCGACAAACACAGGGTGTGACATGCAGCCTGTGGCCTTGCCATGCGAACTTGCGCAAAACACAGGGCGCTTGCCATGTGAACTCCCGACCAACACAGTGCTTGACACACAAGCTGCGGCCTTGCCATGTGAACTTACGAAAAACAGGGCGTGACACACCGGCTGGGGCCTTGCCATGTGACATACAGTCTGGGGCCTTGCCATGTGAACTGATGAAAAACACAGGGCCTGACACATAGGCTGGGGCCTTGCCATGTGAACTCACAAAAAACACAGGGCGTGACATACAGGCTGGCCTTGCCAACTCACGAAAAAACACAAGGCCTACATCTGCGGTCTTGCCATGTGAACTCGAGACAAACACAAGGCGTGACATACTGTCCGGGCTGGGGCCTTGCCATGTCAACTCACGAAAAACACAGGGCGTGACATACGGCCTTGCCATGTCAACTCGCGAAAAAAAACAAGGCGCGACATACAGGCTGGGTTCTTGCCATGTGAACTTTTGGCAAACACAGGCCGGGGTCTTGCCATGGGAACTCACGACAAACACAGGGCGTGAGACACACACTGGGGCCTTGCCATGTGAACTCACGAAAAGTTCACAGGGCGTGACATAAAGACTGGGGTGTTGCCATGTGAAAAGAACAGGGCGTGACATGCAGGCTGAGGTCTTGCCATGTGAACTCGCGAGAAACACGGGGCGTGACATACAGACTGGCATCTTGCCCTGTGAGCTCGCGAAAAACAGGGCCTGACATACAGAGGCCTTGCCATGTCAACTCACGAAAACTGCAGACGGCGTGACATACACACTGGGGTCTTGTCATGGGAAAAAAGCACTTGCCATGTGAACTCACAACAAACACACGGCCTGGGACCTTGCCATGTGAACTCACGAAAACCACAGGGCGTGACATACAGGCTGGGGTCTTGCCATGTGATCTCGCGACAAAACCAGGGCGTGACAAACAGGGTGGGGTCTTGCCATGTGAACTCACAAACAACACAGGGCGTGACACACAGGCTCGGGCCTTGCCATGAGATCTCACGAATAACACAGCGCGTGACATACAGGCTGTGACATACTGCTTGGGTTCTTGCCATGTGACAAACACAGGGCGTGATATACGGGCTGGGGTATTGCCATGTGACTTGGTGAAAAAACACAGGCCGGGGCATTGCCACGTGAACTCACGAGAAACACAAGGCGTGACACACCGGTCGGGGCCTTGCCATGTGAACTTACGAAAAAAGACACAAAGCGGGACATGCAAACTGGGGTCTTGCCATGTGAAATCACGAAAAACACAGGGTGTGACATGCAAGCTGGGATCTTGCCATCTGAACTCGCGAACCACATTGCGTGACATACCGGCTGGGGCTGGGGCCTTGCCATGTGAACTCACGGAAAGCACAGGGCGTGACATACACGCTGGGGCTTTGCCATGTGAAAACAACAGCACGTGACATACAGGCTGGGGTCTTGCCATGTGACCTCGCGAGAAGCACAAAGCGTTTTGCCATCTGAACTCACAAAAAACACAAGGCGTAAAACACAGGCTGGGAAGGCTGGGCCCTTGCCATGCGAACTTACGAAAAAACAGGGCGTGACATACAGGATGTGACATACCGGCTTGGTTCTTGCCATGTGAACTCGTGACAAAAAGAGGGCGTGACACACAGGCTGGGGTCTTGCCGCGTGAACTCACGAAAAAACACGGGGCGTGACATACAGGCTGGGGCCTTGCCATGTGAAATCACCAGAAACACAGGGCGTCACATACAGGTCGGGCAATTGCCACTTGAACTCACGAAAAGCACGGGGCGTAACACACAAGCTGGGGCCTTGCCATGGCGACTGTGTGGAGCATCTAAAGCGGCGCTGCCCCATCCCTCGCGAGGTTGACTTTTCAAGCGATGGCTCCAGCGATGACTTTGCGAAAGGTCAGATTGATGCGCTCTTCCTGGGTACTGTTCAGAGCAGCGGGCAGCTCTTCAAACACGGCAGCCTCAAAAATCCCACAACACGAAGTTCCACTCGATCGGGATGTGCAAAACAGTCCTTCAATCCTTTGCGTCGCGGTAGTGAATGTTGCCAGCATTCCTGCGTAGCTCCAGACATTACCTCACAAGGCACATCAGGCCACGCCCGCCCCTACACGTCACATCTCGGCAGGACCTGGGCCCAAGCCAAGGCTCAATGCAAGGTTGGCAACGTGCGCGACATTTACCGGCAGAGTAAAACAATCACAACACGAACGTGACTTGGAAACCTTCGAGGTCAGAACCAGAAGACTACCATGTCCCAGACGCACACGAATCCTGCCACTATGAGTCATGACGCCAACGGTACCTCCAAAAGCGCCAGCCTGCCAGCTTTAGCATCACGTCTTCCACCACCTTAGAGACTTGGAGACCAAGCTCCGATGCGAAGCGGCTGCGAAAGCACTTAAACGTCGTCAGAAAAGTGCCACTGCCTTTCGCCCAGCAGCATTCTTTCAGATCAAAGTCCCTCTCCGCGCCCAGGGTGACCTTCTGCAGGGGACCGCAAGCCCGTGCAGAAAAGCGCAATTCACTGATTTGCCAGGCCGCTGATGCGATAGTGGGTTGCGGGCCATAGATTGATTCATTATCAGCGTGCCTGGAAAGTCGTGAGAAAATCGTGGCTTTCTCTCGTGTTCCAAGAGCGAGGGTTGCTCTGTCAGACGAGAAACCATCCCACTGTGTCATTTCCATTCCTGCAACAAGCTCTACAGAAGCAACCACAAAAAGGTTCATGAAAACATAAAAAACTGCAGCCATGGCCTGTACTTATTGCATAGCACTGAATTGAATGTTTCACCTGCACACAGTTCATTGATAGCCATGGTTGCGCTTGCAGGATCTTGCAAGTATCTGAAGCCACCTGTGACCTTCTCCACTTCCTTTCGAATCTCCTCATGACCAAAGCGGACCAAAGCATGCGCAGAAACGGCTTGGGCATCATGGCATCATGGCATGGAGTCTTTCTTCCAAAGGTCCTGGAGGACCGGAGCACGAGACCACGGCTTGGGCTTGATGGTCCTCCCCGAGTACTTGTAGGCTTTGTCCTGACATCACGGCAAAATTGCAAAGTGTTAAGGCCTTCAAACCCTTGCAATGTCGAGAAAGAGGAAAGAGAAGACTTGCCACAAAGACTCTCCAAAGTAACAAGTCAATCTGGGTTCATCGTATTCTTTGCCGAACCTTGCATCAACAGGATCACGCACAATGACACCAGGCTGAGGCAGAATCAAGTCGTGAAAAAACCCGACATAAAGGGCACGATGGAATCCTTTACACCCTAGATCATCGGACAACCCACGCACAGGCTAGCACAAGCCAGCTATTTAAACAGGTGTTCAAATACTGCATCTCCTTACTTGGCAGCTTGCACCTTTTGGCAACAATGTTAAAGTGGTTCAAGCATCAGTAACGGTGGCGGCACTACCATAGCAGCCACGCAGCACCTTCACTCGTCCCTGTGTGAACGGCAATGAGCGGAGGCGTCGAAGCCAGTCCTGCCGCATTAAATTTAAAGCTACGTTGCTGAGCATGTTGTTTCATCGTTTTTGAAGCGTCTCCTCTGCTCGGCTTGATGCAAAATCCGGCCTGGGCCAACGTGCAAGGTCACATGCGAATATAGCGAAACCACTGATTAACAGTCAAGCAGCCAAGCAACAAATCTGCTTTCCAAAACAATGACCCTGTCTGGAGCACATGTGGAGCACTGATGTGTTGGCGGCTTGCGGTGAATTGGCTCTAGTATGTTGGATCCGTTCGACAACTTGTATACCTGCTCGAGCCTTCTGCTGAACACAAATCCTTGATGTGCAAATTACCACAGCCAGGCTCGCATGAACACGATTGAGAGCACAAATTGTTCCGCATCTGAGGGTGCAACACATAGCGCAAGATGCTGCCTTGTCGATCCAAAGAACCCCAGAACGGCCTCAAGAAAAAATCCGTGCAAATGTCGGATCTTCAGCTTCTCCCCACAAATTCTGCTAATCTCAACAAAGCAAGCTCATGTTAAAACGTTCGAACTACATCTGAAGCCCCCTGCGTGGCGGGACTAGATTGCGCAATTTGCAGAGGCTTCAATCGGCCTGGTTCCGGATGCAATCTGCGATGGCAAACGCACAAGAAGCATCATTCACCTCTACAAACTAAATACGATTGCCTTGGAGCGTCTGGTTGCGGCTGACGCAAGCCGCAGGTTTAAACTTGACACCCTTCCGATGTGAAACCATGATGGCTGTTCTCCAGTAAACGACGCGGGTGCTTTGATGTTGTCAAAGAACGTTTGGCTGGCTAATCATGCCTTGCGGTGAACTTCCTGCGGATCCATGCACCCTTGCTGGTCGGCAATATGGCCGAATGCTGACAACCGGCCCCATCGTTGAATGACAACCTTGTTGGCCTACATACTGTCGCTTGCTGTCCTGCGTTCGAATGGGCCCCCGCTGTGGAAACAGGCAGAAACACTGCAAACAGCGGTGCTGGGCTCGAACCCAACAAGGACCACTGCGATAGAAAGGAAACCGAACAATGAGAGGGGGTGGAATGTAAAATCACTCAATGCTCCTACGACTACTGCGAATCACGAAGAGCTGAAGCGAAAAAAAGGTATGGAGCAGCGAGTTTCTAAAACCGTTTTGCTCGCGGACCGTGCTTGAGCCCCGACAAACAAAAAGGCACTGTCCCTCAGAATTGTATTCAGCTTTTCCATCACGCTTCTCAGCTCAGGGATCATATCAGGAATTGTCATTCAAGCACATATATGGAACGCAGCCTGACTCACTGCCCCTCCACGACATGAGAAAGCACCCTGCATGCTGCGAAGGCCCCAAAAAGTCCAGACTGATGCTGAACGCGAAGCGCTGACCCAATGCGTGTGTGAGTTCACGCCTCTATCCATCTCTCTGCATCCAGGAACTCCCAAGAAAACAAACTTCCGTCTGCATTTGACCCCCCTGTATATAGTTAGCCAACGCTCCCTTGACTCGGGCAAAGAAGTTCCCGACAATAGAGGAAGCAACAGAGGACTTGCAAGCCAAGCTTCCTGCCGTTAGTCACTTAAATCTCGGTGGAAGTAGTAGTAGTAGTAGTAGTAGTAGTAGTAGTAGTAGTAGTAGTAGTAGTAGTAGTAGTAGTAGTAGTAGTAGTAGTAGTAGTAGTAGTAGTAGTAGTAGTAGTAGTAGTAGTAGGAGTAGTAGTAGTAGAAGAAGTAGTAGTAGTAGTAGTCGTAGTAGTAGTAGTAGTAGTAGTATAAGTACATTTTTCGTTGTTTTTGCGGTAATTTGAAGATTTTGAACTCGCACCCCGTATAGTCGACGTGATTGTTGCCCTCTGGTTTCCAATGACTAAAAGAGAGTGCTTCTTTCTTCTCAGGTTGCTCACGGCAAGGAGAGGGTCGGTGTCGCGTCGTACCTCGATACTGATGCTGAGATATGCCCTCATCGCAGGGCCAGCCAGGCAGGAAAGATGTGGTTGGAGAGATCGTCGAAGACATGGCGATGGTGGAAACTGAACAAGGGCTTTTGCCATGGTTCGGGACCACCACCACCACCACCACCACCACGACTACCTACTACTACTACTACTACTACTACTACTACTACTACTACTACTACTACTACTACTACTACTACTACTACTACTACTACTACTACTACTACTACTACTACTACTACTACTACTACTACTACTACTACTACTACTACTACTACTACTACTACTACTACTACTACTACTACTACTACTACTACTACTACTACTACTACTACTACTACTACTACTACTACTACTACTACTACTACTACTACTACTACTACTACTACTACTACTACTACTACTACTACTACTACTACTACTACTACTACTACTACTACTACTACTACTACTACTACTACTACTACTACTACTACTACTACTACTACTATTTATTGAACGCTGAGCGAGCGGGCTCTGCTCATTGCGGGCGATTCGCACCGTTCTGAGCACCGAAAATTAGTTTGGAGCAGCGGCTGGAGAGGTGAAACCGAATTCACTAGGTGTAGATCAGTGTGAGACAAGGCGAGCTTCTTGATTTGGTTAGAGTGTGGAGCAAGAGCTGTAGCTTGGTAGCTAGCTGTCACATGGGTGAAAAGAGATATAGCTCCCGTCATCCTACTGTGTCTCACTGCGTCCAGTAGACACGCACCTTCCTGCAAGTGGGTCGTACCTGATGGCCGTCTCCCTCAATGTCCATCTTGTGGCGTCCCACATGGATCATTGATGCAGGAAGGCAGAGGACCGTAGAGCAGTCACTTTGGCAGATTTGCAGCAGTGTGTGTTGGGCTGGGCCTCCCGGATTCAGAGTAAGGCAATCCTCACTAGGTGCATGGCTGGTGAAGAAGTGAGCTCAAACTGCAATAATGTTGTGACCGGCTTTTTCCCCAGTGCTTTGCGACCTCTCAATCGTCGATGATTGTTACTTTTGTACATTTGTACTTGGGAGCAGTGCTCCTCTCCAGCTGAGCAGTGCTCAGAGTTAGGCTGGTTCGGCCGTGAGGTTAAAGTAAAGAAGAACTCGGGCCAGTGTTCAGCGTCCAGGAACTGAGCTGCCAGACTCTGCATGCTGTTCAAGCGTGCTGTATCCCACCACTGGAACTGGTGGGCCAGTAAGCGTGTGGATCGGGGAGACGAGGACGTGTTGATGGGGTCCAGCCGGCCCCTCATAGTTGTGGACGTGCCCCTGTTGCAGCTGGAAGAACCAGGTGCGGCGCGGAACACCTTGAATGACCACGACCGGCCCTGGGCTGAGCGTCAAGCTCCAGAGTTGCAGCCTTTCCCCCGGTGTATACACTGGGGGCGCAGCTTCGTGCATTGGCCTTGTTCCTGGGAGTGGAAAGTCCGTTCCACTGCGTGATGGTGGTGGTGGCCCGGCCGGGCTGATGTAGGCAGGCACCCCATTCCAAGCGATGGACAAGTTCTGGGCAGGCGTGGTAGGAAGGCCACCTTCCTCTGGTCGATCAGTGCGAGCCTTTGCTGCTGGGCGCAGCTGAGTGTCACGTGCTGGCGCTGTGGGCATCTCGTCTGGGGAAGAACGAAATAGTGAATCCGTCTCCGACTCTTCACCTAAGTCAGCGGCCTCCGCTTCCGAGCCATCCTGCTCCCCTTCAAATAGTGAATCTGTCTCCGACTCTGCACTTTCACCTGTCATTGCTGGCGCGGCGTCAGGCTCTGTGCGACAATGGCGTTTCGGCGACATTCGGAGGAAGCTGGAGATTTTCACGCAAAACAGAGAAATTGAGCCGAGGCCTAGTGCAACTAGCTTTGTGAAGACACTGTTTGGTGATGCACCTGTGTTGCCTAGTACCATGGCAGAGCATGTAGCGTGCGAACACACTCGGATTATTCTTGAGCAGACCCGGCCTCACTTGTGGAAGGGGTACGCTGCTCCAGGCTCGAGACCTGCCCGGCGGTCCGCCGGGGTGAACCGCTCTAGGCGGCAATTCCGGTATCCGCACCTCACAAAGTGAGGCCAGCCGCAGAGCCCCTTGCATAGTGGGTAAATTTCTTTGCCGAGTTGTGTCTGCATCGGCAGCTATTCTAGCCACTGAGCTGCTCCTCGTCTCAAGAACGAGTCCGGCACAGAAGCGCACCCCTGTGGTAACGAGCGATACTGAAGAAGGGGGCCAGCCTCGTGTGGCTAGTAGCCGAGACGGTGCCCTGCCAGGTGAAGTGTGGCTGCTTAAGGCTATGAGGACAGGAGTCTTTAGGGCGGTGCGTGGCTGTTTGGATCAGTCTACTTGTCATGTAAGTGCTCCGCTTTGTTTCTGGGCACGCTGCCGTCGATGGGTTCGCCATCCTGGAGCATCGCGGACCTTGGTAGCTTTGCTTAGCATGACTATTTACCTGCAACACAGTGATGAGCAACGGCCGACTCTGCTTGATGATATGAGATGATCGAAATGTGCCAGGGGTGAGAGGAGGGTTATAAACAGCTGGAACAACCTAGTCCTCAGGCTTGCAGGGGTTTTTCTGTCCGTTCAGATGTATCCGGCGGCCAATGGAGGCAAAAGAGGACGGAGAAACGTTTTGACATCATAGCAGCTTAGCTGCTGTTGGCTCAGTGTTAAGGACAGTGTCCTGTAGCTGGGGTTTGCCGTGCAAACCATGCGAATTAGAGGTGCCCGCTTCTAGTAGTGGTGGCCTTTCCAGGACCATCCGGATCTTTTGTCCCATTGGGTTTGGCTGTCTTCACCTGCGTCTTCCCTGGGTCTTCGAAGACCGCGAGGTGGTGCTGGCTGCGTGGCTCTGCTGGACGGATTTTTCGTCCAGTCGTTGTGCTTGATGGTGAATTGAGCTTCTCGCTGTGGTCCCTGCTTGATGTGGTAGGAGACCTTTGCCGTCCCATTAACTCGCTTGGAGGTGAGATCGTAGATGGTGGAGAAGGTAGCCGCGAATATGGTGTAGTCTTCAGCATCTTGGTCCGTGTGAATTTTGAAGCCTTCCTGAACCGCTGCCTTGATGATGGCGTGAAGCCCACCGATCCAGCGGGTCGGTGAGTCCAGCTCTACCCAGTGTCCTTCGCGGAGGGTAGAAATTGTGACCGCTCCTGTAGGCCCGATGGTGACTTTAGCAGTCATGAGAACCTGCCATGTGAGCCCCGTTGCTGTCTGTGCGTGGAGCAGACTCTGCAAGACTCTGGGAGGTTCACGCAAGATCTCTAGTCGGCGTTGCCAGATGTTAGCCCATTCCCCTGCCGTCAATAGGCCCATCACCTGAGGATTCGTGATGACCTGGACCTCGCTGGCCGTCTTGACCCATTCTTGGAAGCCCTGATCGCTGCATTGCTCTTGCATGGTGAGTGGCCGCTGTGGTGGAGGGGGAGGCACTCCTGTTGATTCGTACGGCCGTTCTTGTTCAACTGGAGGAAGGACTTGAGGAGGAGCCGGTGTTGCAGTGGTCGGCATAGCTTGAGGTTCTGGTGGCGGCATCGTTGCTGTTCGAGAGCGGTCAGGGTTTGCTGTGGCATCCCTTCCAGGCGGTGGTCCTGCTGGCTCAGGAGGGCGCTGAGTGCCAGCATTGCTGCTGGACGAGGCCGCTGGGGCGGTGACCTCGAGTTGTGTCTGGGCAGTGTTCTGGAGGACCTCTGGTGATTGATCTTCTGGAGTTGACTGAGCGGTCTCTGCCTCCGTTTTGCGGTCCAGGGCTTCGCTGAACCTGATAGCGGAGTTGGCATGCCACCCCTGCCTGGCGAAGT